CAGACTGATACACTCTTGAAGTCATTCTGTTTCGCTCCATTCTCTCTACATGTCCGAACCACCTCAACAACCTTCCTCAGCCTCTGGACAACAGTTTTGGTAATCCCGCACCTCCTCCTAACTTCCAAACTACGAATTCTCTGCATTATATTCAACACCACACATTGCCCTCAGACATGACATCTCCACTGCCTCCAGCCTTCTCCTCGCTGCAACATTCATCACCCACGCTTCACACACCATATAAGAGCGTTGGTAAAACTATTACTCTCATACATTCCCCTCTTTGCCTCCAAGGACAAAGTTCTTTGTCTCCACAGACTCCTAAGTGCACCACTCACTCTTTTTCCCTCATCAATTCTATGATTCACCTCATCTTTTCATAGACCCATCTGCTGACACGTCCACTCCCAAATATCTGAATACGTTCACCTCCTCCATACTCTCTCCCTCCAATCTGATATTCAATCTTTCATCACCTAATCTTTTTGTTATCCTCATAACCTTACTCTTTCCTGTATTCACCTTTAATTTTCTTCTTTTGCACACCCTACCAAATTCATCCACCAATCTCTGCAACTTCTCTTCAGAATCTCCAGAGCACAGTGTCATCAGCAAAGAGCAGCTGTTGACAACTCCCACTTTGTGTGTGATTCTTTATCTTTTAACTCCACGCCTCTTGCCAAGACCCTCGCATTTACTTCCTTACAACCCCATCTATAAATATATTAAACAACCACGGTGACATCACACATCCTTGTCTAAGGCCTACTTTTTACTGGGAAAAAATTTCCCTCTTTCCTACATACTCTAACTTGAGCCTCACTATCCTCGTAAAAACTCTTCATGCTTTCAGTACCTACCTCCTACACCATACACTTGCAACATCTGCCACATTGCCCCCTATCCACCCTGTCATACGCCTTTTCCAATCCATAAATGCCACAAAGACTCTTTAGCCTTATCTAAATACTGTTCACTTATATGTTTCACTGTAAACACCTGGTCCACAACACCCCCTACTTTTCCTAAGCCTCCTTGTTCATCTGCTATCCTATTCTCCGTCTTACTCTTAATTCTTTCAATTATAACTCTACCATACACTTTACCAGTACACTCAACAGACTTATCCCCCTATAATTTTTGCACTCTCTTTTATCCCCTTTGCCTTTATACAAAGGAACTATGCATGCTCTCTGCCAATCCCTAGGTACCTTACCTTCTTCCATACATTTATAAATAATTGCACCAACCACTCCAAAACTATATCCCCACCTGCTTTTAACATTTCTATCTTTATCCCATCAATCCCGGCTGCCTTACCCCTTTCATTTTACCTACTGCCTCACGAACTTCCCCCAACTCACACTGGCTCTTCCTCACTCCTACAAGATGTTTTCCTCCTTGCCCTATACACGAAATCACAGCTTCCCTATCTTCATCAACATTTAACAATTCCTCAAAATATTCCTTCCATCTTCCCAATACCTCTAACTCTCCATTTAATAACTCTCCTCTCCTATTTTTAAACTGACAAATCCATTTGTTCTCTAGGCTTTCTTAACTTGTTAATCTCACTCGAAAACTTTTTCTTATTTTCAACAAAATTTGTTGATAACATCTCACCAACTCTCTCATTTGCTCTCTTTTTACATTGCTTCACCACTCTCTTAACTTCTCTCTTTTTCTCCATATACTCTTCCCTCCTTGCATCACTTTACTTTGTAAAAACTTCTCATATGCTAACTTTTTCTCCACTTACTACTCTCTTTACATCATCATTCCACCATCGCTCCTCTTCCCTCCTGCACCCACTTTCCTGTAACCACAACTTCTGCTGAACACTCTAACACTACATTTTTAAACCTACCCATACCTCTTCGACCCCATTGCCTATGCTCTCATTAGCCATCTATCCTCCAATAGCTGTTATATCTTACCCTAACTGCCTCCTCTTTTAGTTTATAAACCTTCACCTCTCTCTTCCCTGTTGCTTCTATTCTCCTTGTATCCCATCTACCTTTTACTCTCAGTGTAGCTACAACTAGAAAGTGATCTGATATATCTGTGGCCCTCTATAAACATGTACATCCTGAAGTCTACTCAACAGTCTTTTATCTACCAATACATAATCCAACAAACTACTGTCATTTCGCCCTACATCATATCGTGTATACTTATTTATCCTTTTTCTTAAAATATGTATTACCTATAACTAAACCCCTTTCTATACAAAGTTCAATCAAAGGGCTCCCATTATCATTTACACCTGGCAACCCAAACTTACCTACCACACCCTCTCTAAAAGTTTCTCCTACTTTAGCATTCAAGTCCCTACCACAATTACTCTCTCACTTGGTTCAAAGGCTCCTATACATTCACTTAACCATCTCCCAAAATCTCTCTCTCTCCTCTGCATTCCTCTCTTCTCCAGGTGCATACACGCTTATTATGGACCCACTTCTCGCATCCAACCTTTACTTTATCCACATAATCTTGAATTTACACATTCATATTCTCTTTTCTCCTTCCATAACTGATCATTTAACATTACTGCTACCCCTTCCTTTGCTCTAACTCTCTCAGATACTCAGATTTAATCCCATTTATTTCCCCCACTGAAACTCTCCTACCCCCTTCAGCTTTGTTTCGCTTAGGGCCAGGGACATCCAACTTCTTTTCATTCATAACATCAGCAATCATCTGTTTCTTGTCATCCGCACTACATCCACGCACATTTAAGCAACCCAGTTTATAAAGTTTTTCTTCTTCTCTTTTTTAGTAATTGTATACAGGAGAAGGGGTTACTAGCCCATTGCTCCCGGCATTTTAGTCGCCTCATACGACACGCATGGCTTACGGAGGAAAGATTCTTTTCCACTTCCCATGGACAATAGAAGAAATAAAAAAGAACAAGAGCTATTTAGAAAAAGGAGAAAACCTAGATGTATGTATATATATATATGCATGTTGCGTGTTCTGTGAAGTGTGACCAAAGTGTAAGTAGGAGTAGCAAGATATCCCTGTTATCTTAGCGTGTTATGAGACAGAAAAAGAAACCAGCAATCCTACCATCATGCAAAACAGTTACAGGTTTTTGTTTCACAGTCATCTGGCAGGACGGTAGTACTTCCCTGGGTGGTTGCTGTTACCAACCTACTACATTGAAAATAAATAAAATAAATAAATATATATATATATATATATATATATATATATATATATATATATATATATATATTATATATATATAATATATATATATATATATATATATATATATATATATTATATATATATATATACATGTATATATATTTTTTTACCAACAGGAATATATATATATATATATATATATATTATATAAATATTTATATATATATATATATATATATATATATATATATAATATATATATATTATATTTATTTATTTATTTATTTTCAATGTGTTGGCTGCCTCCCACCAAGGCAGGGTGACCCAAAAAAGAAAGAAACACTTTTACCATCATTCACACAATCAAGACACTCAGATATGACAGTTTAGATGTCACTCCACACCCACCCACACACTTACATACATATCTATCATTTTATTCCTAACAACAGTTTTAAACAAATTCTTTGGTTTATTTCAGTTCCATTTCTGTAATCAGCTACTTTCCAAAACATGTTAGTATATTGAATAAGTCAATTACTTCCAATAATTATTTACTAATTTATGGACTGACTCACACTGTATCTGTGCTACCAGACAATAGTTAATATGCAATGTTTGACTTTTGAATGTTTAATTACAATATATTTATTGCAACATTATTATATTACTGTTAGGCATCACTTTTTATTATTATTCTGGTGTTTATTTTTTGTGAAGGTGGTGGACAATTACAAAGAATGTGGTTTATTTAGGGGAAAAGGAGTGACTGCAGCATTTGCTCTAATATAACCTATAAATTCTCATGGCCTGAGTTAATTTGTCCTGAGTTAATTATACTCTTGTGTAATGTGTTGAGTATTTACTTCAGATGCAATTACTATTACCATATCAGTTTTATAAACACTTATGTTGTGCCTTATTTGTTTATGTAATGTAAATCCACATTAATTAAACTAATGAGACAACTTTGGTAAAACCATTTTTTTTACTTCACTTATGCATTATTAATGTAGTTTTTTCAGTACATTTGGAAAAGATCTTATCACTTAATTTCTTTTATAAATTACTTTGGTAAAGACAAACAGGGTTTCTCAAGGTAAATTAGGTTAGTACTTACATGACCTGTAGCACAGTCATAGCACTTGGCTCACAACTGAAAGGACCTGTATTTGATCCCCAGTTAAGGCAAGACACATGGGCAGGTGTCCCTTCACTCACTGATCCTGTTCATCTAGTAATAAACACCGTACACACAGTAATCCAGAATGCCGGGAACGAAGTAATGTCTGATTACCGATAGTTTTGAAATGTGGCATATGTAGGAGCATTGTAAGCATCAAAAGCAAACTAATATTATGCTTAAGTTATGCCTATTATACTTAAGTTAGAAAGTAATTTTGTCTCCTCTTACATAATTTTAAAATTAACAGTAGTTTTATAAAGTAAATTAAGTAGGATTTAACTTAGGGTAAGCCATTAAAATCAGCTGTGTTACAAATGTATTAGTTGTTTACATGAGTATGAGGAAGTCTGAATAACTGATCATTTTCAGGATTTCTGATAATTTTTCCAGATTACTGTTCATACTAAATGATATCAAACTTCCCTGATACCTGATCATTATCAACCACTGATAAGTGGAGAGCTGTTGTTCTACTGTGCTGTACTTGGGTATTAAATATGTCTTGAAGTTTGTATCCTGGGGAGATAATACTAAACCATAGATGGGTGAACTGAGATGAGCTGAAGCAGGATAGCAGCTCTGTATGTAGAAATGGGCTTTATGTAAAAAATAATCACTTTGTATGAATATTAGTTATTAATGTGAGTTGATCTCCTAGGGGCGGTGTAAGTCCCGCAGAGGGGCCCACTCCCCCTGCCCCCCCGCCGCCGCCGCCACAACAGCAACCACAATCAGACGGCTACTGGAATATGCACCTAGAGGTTCTCAGGTCAGGAAAATGCAAATGTATCTGCTGCCTGGCTTTACAGATATGTTTCTCCACATGTATGCTACTTGCCCACTGCCTTATGAAGCTTTTTACATAAATCCTGTTTCTTGGTACCCTTTAATGCTTTCAGGGAAACTACATAATATAAAGTCTTTCAAACTTTCCCAACAGCGTTACGAAAGAGTATATTGTCTCCTTACTGATTTTCCTGCTACTGGTTTCCTTTATCTTTTAAGTCTCTTTCCCCCTGCCCACTATTACTTCTTTTGCACCTACCACTTCCTGTTTTCCTGGTTAGTTCTGCACTTCTCCTCATCAGATTATTACAGTACCCCTCTTGTCAGTTCTTTCAGTCTACCCTTGATGCTTCATGTTACAAAAGCTCTGGTCTTCCAGCTGTCATCCACTCTTCTTATACAGCACTAGTCTTTTATATGTAGTACTTGACCTGCATTTAACTAGTACTATTTCTTCATCTGAACTGGCATCTGTAATAATACAATGTAATCTAAATAGGATGCCTGAGTGTAATTAGTATTGTTTCACTGTGATTGTTCACTAGGAATCACAGCTTTTGTACTCATAATGAATGAAGTGGTCTCTATAAATAGTACAGTCATTATAAAATTTCATTTTAGAGCAGTTTTGAAATGTTTTTGTTAACATTGTATAGTGTGAAAAAAAACACTCTATTATGAGTTTATGATGTACACTAATTAAATGTCTCCTGAATGTATACAACTGAATGATTGCTTCACATAATGTCCTGAATAACTGCATATGCTATGCAGTATTGTTATTTGGTATTCACATACCATTCCAGTTATATGACGTACTGTAACTTATTAAAAAGATATGCAGTATTATTTTAAAACTCTTAATAACGTTCAAGTTTTCATATTTCGTAACTCTGTTAATTTTAATCTTCTTTATTTTTAGTCCTTGTAATATATTTTGCTTGTACAGTGTTTGCCCACATTTTCCCATATCAGTACATTCTACTGCATTAGCACATTCAAGGAGGGATGGTTGCAAAGAATGCTTTACTTAATTTTACTAATACCCTTTTTTTTTCATATTTTAGAGTGAGAAAAAACTTTCAATGCTTCAAAACCGATCAAAAATCTGTGCAATGAAAGGGATATTGAATAACTGACAACAGGAAGAATCATATTTACAACTAATGTTAAATCAGTTTTACTGGTCTCAGAATTTATATATTATTACTGTGTTAAACTTCTCTGAATATTCCCATTAAAGACTTCACTGTGAAGTGTTTTTTTTTTTTTTCATAAAGAATCTTGGACACAAAGTTGGATGGAAATCGCTCTGTTATATTCACGGGGAAATGTTAAACCTGTGGGGATCAGAGCCTGGGGAATGGGAAGTAATCATGGTTGATCTAAGGAAGGGGAGGGTACTTTTAATTCCTTAGATCAAGAGCCCTGATGGGTATCATTGCACCTCCTTGAAAGAGTTTGCTGAAGAAGTTAACAAATTTTAAGACTTATATTGTCAGCAATTACAAAATTACAATTTTTAAAGCATTATAGTATCAGATTTTTTTTGGCTACTTATGCAAAAAGTTACAGAAATTATTATTTTTTTTAATTATTAATGACCCAGTGTATGCTACATTAGAATGCACATACTGAAGAACATTTCAATAAAGATGGAAAGTCATTCAGCACTCATATAAAGTGCTGATACACAAAGCTTATAGTCCTGATACTGGCACACATAATACCACTGCATGTAGTTATCTATTATGGTACTGTATATAAGTTGCTCTTTCCTTAAAATTTATACAAGACCTGTTGTATATTACTCTAATGTATTAAACCTAATTATAAGACTGCAAGCAGCTTCTAGTAGTGTTTTGGTAATGTTAGTAATTAGAGACATGGGGTAGTGGTCTGTTATCCAAACAGTAATGATGCTTACGGTTTTAAGTACTCATTAGCATAATTAATTACAATACCTCTCCCTATCCTAGTAGATCTAGATTTGTGAATGGCTGTATACCCAGGTATGTTAATTACATTAGTCACCCATAAATCATGTTTTATGCATGTTGCTCTTAATATCAAGAATAAAAATTTGGTATTTAATGGTTCTAATAGGGTATTAATGTCATCATTATTGGCTTAGGAGCCCAATAATATAACTGAATTTTTTTTTATAAAGAACTGTCTTTGCAAGACTTGTCATATATTACACAGCTTTGATCCACAGGGAGTTAATGGCTGAGTGCAAGAGACAACAAGTTATGACAAAGTTGTCATTGATTATTGTTTCCATTATAAATTTATGAGTAAGTCACTTATTCTTGTAAACAACCAAGTCCTTGAAGTTTTGGCAAGCTAGGACAAGCAACAGCACACTTTCCACAGAAATTATGCCATCTTTATCATAGCGTTATAATATGTTTTCAATAATTAAAACTATAAATCTTGCTCCTACAATTGAATATGCTAATAAGCATAATTAGCTAGAAAAAAGAAAAATATATAAGAATGATTGAATGTGTTTTTTTTTTTTTTTTTTGAGATGAGTCATCTGGGTAACAGCCAAAAGATTACATATTCATATAATAGGCCTAGTGCCTGGGCTGCCAACATAATGCTAAGCATGTTATAGTAGTAGTGAATTACAAAACTATATAATTGATTCAGATAAAAATTCACATAGGAATTGAAATACTAATAATATTAACACTAGTAGTGATAATGTCATCAAACCTTTACCATCTAGTTTAAATGGTTACAGAGTTACAGAAGCACAAACAGGTCAAGGCATCAGGTTAATCAATGTACATCAGTAAGGCATTTCTTTCTTACCTTAATGTATGTGCTGGGCTCACTGGGAAACGGTAAAGTGCTTCGTGATGTGGGTCAGTGTCTTATGATGACTCTCAGTGAAGCATCCAACACCAACCTTGAGCAAGGATGCAATTTCCAACCCTTTAAAAAAAACAAAGGATCAACACACACAATAGTAGCAAATGCAGTATAGAATGATGTTTTACAGTATAGAATGATGTTTTACAGCATAGAATGATGTTTTACAGTATAGAATGATGTTTTACAGTATAGAATGATGTTTTACAGTATAGAATGATGTTTTACAGTATAGAATGATGTTTTACAGTATAGAATGATGTTTTACAGTATAGAATGATGTTTTACAGTATAGAATGATGTTTTACAGTATAGAATGATGTTTTACAGTATAGAATGATGTTTTACAGCATAGAATGATGTTTTACAGTATAGAATGATGTTTTACAGTATAGAATGATGTTTTACAGTATAGAATGATGTTTTACAGTATAGAATGATGTTTTACAGTATAGAATGATGTTTTACAGTATAGAATGATGTTTTACAGTATAGAATGATGTTTTACAGCATAGAATGATGTTTTACAGTATAGAATTATGTTTTACACTTAATGAAAGCATAGAATAATGCTGCTTTTCTTTGAACTATGTTAATCATTAATGAGTTTCAGAAAAAAGTTTCATATACATATTCGTTGATTTTGTGGTTTAGTCTGGAATAATGTTTGTTAAAATTATTTTATGTACGTATAAGTTACTTCTCTGAGATATGAATATAGCAAGAGAAATTCTATCCCTTGTGGCTATGATTTTCTGTGGAAACCCATCACAGAGAATTAAATCAAATTTAAGTACGAATGTATTTATTAGGATGCTTTCACTCTTCATCAGACGTACTGAAACTCAATTAGATCAAAAAGTTGTTAAATGTTGAGAGTTGTACTACACAGGACTAATATTTCATTACCTTCATATCTACTATAATTTTCACACTTTAAATTAAGATATGGCATTGATAGTGTGTCTTCATGCTTGTATTTAAGGGATGGATATGCATCTTTCAGACAGTGGCATAAAAAAAAAGTCAGTACAGAGTTATTTTATGTTCTTGGCAGACTATTTTTTTTAATATGTTAATATATAATTTATGGCATTTTTCAACTTGGGATTTCATGTATGCAGTTATGTTCCCTTTGAATTCAGTACCTAATTTCTTTAAATGTTTTAATTTTTTAGGCATTAAATGACAATTAACATTTTTTACAAGGTTTTAAATAATGGATTAAGTTCATGTTAATTGTTTTTTAATATTCTAATAGTTATTTGTTTCTTGCAGCAAGTTGAAGGGTGAAGTGAAAGACTGGTATGATGGCGACTCCTTAGATGCTGGCCTGGGGCAGGGTGGCGGTGTTAAGCAGGAGCAAGACCCTTATGCACCTTACTCACACCTGCACCAAAATCACCCGATGACCCCGGAATCCATGCATGGCTCCTCACTTAACGGACCACTTGGTGGTCCTCACAATGGACCTCACATGGGCTACCCTCTTCAACAACAGACCCAACAGCAACACCAACAGCATTACCAGAGTTACCAAAGCCATCCGGGAATGGGTGACATAGCCCCAATGTCCCCAGGCTACCAAGGCCATCCAAGACCACACCCGCAACAACATATGAATCAGCAACACATGGGCCATCATATGGGTCAATATCCTGACCAACATGGCCAGTATGGTCAATATGGTCAAATGGGTGGTCACATGGGACAGGGAATGCAAGGTCACCCTGGTCATGAAGGGCCCCCAGGCAGAGAGGGTGATCCATACAGTTTTGTGGATGAGTACAGTGGTCCACCCCCTAGACCCGTTGACGAAGTCCTAGGTCAAACTCAACCAAAAAGAAGAGGTCGCAAGCCAAAACATATAAAACTTATGGAGAATGGGTAAGTTGTAAAACAGACTTTTCTCTTTTATATTGTGTGTGTGAAAGTAGTATAATTAGAAGCCAAGGTATATATGGTAGGCTTGTTTTGTTGAATACTGTGGCTCTGGCATGTATAAATACATGCACAAAAATGCAGGGAAAACAGCACTGAAGAGAAGTTGGTGTAAAGAAATAAGAAAAAATGTGCATGGGTAATAGTAGGGGCAAGATAAGAAGAAAAGGAATTTCCAATAATTGTGAAGAAAGGACAGTTATGGTAAGACATGTGAATACAGCCATAATTCAGACTTTCAACTTAATTCAGTTCTTCAAATGAGCCATAAAACACAAAATTGTACACTATATCAAGTTCATTATGTCACAGGATATGTAGAATTATAATAATAATATCTTTATTTACTGCAAGTACATGTACAAGGTATACAGGTCTAGCTGACATCAGTGACATACTACTATATAGAAAGCCGCTTGTTATGCTGAGCATTTCAGGCAAATTAGGTCAGTTTTGTCCCAGGATGCGACGCACACCAGTCGATTAACACCCAGGTACCCATTTTATACTCATGGGTGAAGATGGACTGCAGGTGTCATATGGAAACACGTCCCTAATGTTTTCCAGCCATATCGGAGGAGATTCAAACTCCAGACCTCAGTGTTCCTAGGGTTCAAGACTCAGATCCATTTTCCATATTTTAACCCCTATTATGCTACAGTTCTATTGTTTTTATTATAAATCAAGAAAGAGACATCAAATAACACAGTATTAAACATTTACATTATCAAAAACATTAAAAATAAATTCAATAATAATTTTACTGTAGTTCATTATGAGTTATAATTCAGCTACCTGAGCATTATAAACACTGATTACCAAGTTACGATTTGATCCACGAGACTTACAATTTGAGTCACCAGAGCACTATAATATGGATTGTTAAGAGTAACAGTTGATGCTATCACAGCATTTACAAACTTTATAAATAATTTAATTAAAATTTTATAATACAAAACTACATATAGTACAAACACATTCTTTTTCACCATGTACGTACTTAGTGACAGCATTTTGCTTTGTAGCTGTCAGTAAAAGAGCTGCAGGAACGATGCATGTTAACTAACTCATCACTAAAAATGTTAATGTTATGGAACATTTACAAATTTTGGTATAAACAAGTCTTGAAATTCTTAAGTTTGTAAGTCATAAGTCGAAGTGACTGTATTTTATAAACAACGCATGCTTGGCCAAAGGAAAATTAGGGTATGTGGATGGATGGGTGAGAAAGAGAGAAAAAAATGTAAATCTGAAATAGTTAAAGCACAAATATACTGTAGCGTAAGTTTGAATGGCAGATGAAAATGTACCAGAGTATAGTCATAGTAAGCTGCTGTTTTACTTTGCAATACTATACTAAAAATACAGAGAGGTAAATAAACAAAAATTTATAGACCAAAAATTAATAGGGCAAATTTGTTTTCAGTACTTTAGCTAAGCTAAAACTTTTTTATTATTGAAGGAAATTCCATCAGGTAACCTGAAGACAATTTTGGGGGTCACTGCCACTGTGGTCTGGTTCCAGACCAAGCCCCCTTACCCACCCCCCTCCCTAGTTAATGGCCTCATCTACCAGGCTGTTGGTACTAACCATGCACAGTACAATGTATGCACCACAGCCTGGCTGATCAGGAACTGACTTGAGGAACTTCTCAAGTTCCCTCTTGATTATTATTGTAATAAAAACCAAGCGCTAAACTCACCAGGGCCATACAGCGCTGATTTCCCTCTGGAAGACAGCTAAGAATCTGTTGATAATTTCTCTTTTGTGTAAAAGATGTTGAAAAATCTTGGTCGCTTGCACTTATTGAGTTATCTCTTAGTATATTTTTGGGGAATAATTGCCAAATTTGGTACTTTCTTGAACCAGGATTTACGGAACAAATAGGCCCTCATTTATTTCCAGTTTCAGTTGACCCCTGAGGTTACACACACACACAATAGGGCATTAGATTCAATATTCTAATATTTATATCTTTAGTACTGTATGCCAACATTTATATGACATGGAAGAAGTTAAAGAAGATGTGTGGACTGTATTTGAAAGAAGTTAAAACAACTAGTGGAGCTTTAAAGATAATTCACAAAATAACAAATACAATTAAATCCAAAATAATGCTGTATACGAGCATTTACTTTTTATGTGCCTGGCAATAAGCAGTGTAACGGAAAACATATCAAACAGATATACTAAGAAATAAATGAACTTACTAGAAATCTAGTCAATCTGCCTGGACCCAAATTTGCACACGAAAACCAGGTGGTCTATGAGTACACTAAAGAATACAAAATAAGTGTAAGGGGCACAAGACTTTTCAATACACCCTTTCCATGAACGGGAAATTACAGGCAAGCCTCTGGTTGTCTTTAAGGAAAAATTTGCTAAGTTTCTCAAGACAATTCCTGGTCAGCAGGGGTGTGGTGCATATGTTGGTCTGTGTGTGACTGGCACCATCAGCCTAGTCAATCAGGCCAGTAACTGGGAGACCTGCTCTGTTGGCTGTTCAAACCCCTAGCACTTAAAACCTTCTTTTACCCCATGTCCTTCCCTCCCTCCCAACCCCTTCCACCTGATATCCACCCCAGACTTGTATATCTTTAGTTGTCCTGTTTACTCCTCTCCCTCTAATTAATACCCAACAAGTAAGAAGAAAATTAAAGCATTTTCTTCTTTGGGTCACCTTGCCATGGTGGAAGTGGCCTCTATTGAAAAGCATCTTTTTACCACACCTGCCATCTTCCACCAAGGTGAAGTAACCTAAAAAAAAGGAAAGCATTCACCATCATTCCTTCAATAACCCCCCTGACCGAAGTGCACGCACATCAGAATTTGTATCTGACAGTTATATTTATCCTAGGTAGTAGGTTGGTAGACAGCAGCCGCCCAGGGAGGTACTACCGTCCTGCCAAGTGAGTGTAAAACGAAAGCCTGTAATTGTTTTACATGATGGTAGGATTGCTGGTGTCTTTTTTTCTGTCTCATGAACATGCAAGATTTCAGGTACGTCTTGCTACTTCTATTTACGCTTAGGTCACATTACACATACATGTACAAGCATATATATACACACCCCTCTGGGTTTTCTTCTATTTTCTTTCTAGTTCTTATTCTTGTTTATTTCCTCTTATCTCCATGGGGAAGTGGAACAGAATTCTTCCTCCGTAAGCCATGCGTGTTGTAAGAGGCAACTAAAATGCTGGGAGCAAGGGGCTAGTAACCTCTTCTCTTGTATATATTACTAAATTTAAAAGGAGAAACTTTTGTTTTTCCTTTTGGGCCACCCCGCCTCGGTGGGATACGGCTGGTGCGTTGAAAGAAAAATATATATATATATATATATATATATATACTTTTCTTTAACACAGTGGCTGCCTCCCACACAGGCAGGGTGACCTGAAAAAGAAGAAAAATTTTTCTTTATACATTTAGTAGTTTACACAAGAGAAGGTGTTACTAGCCCCTTGCTCTCGGCATTGCATTATATATAAGGTATTATATTACATTTATATATATGTGGTACTATATTATTTGCTATATACAGTAGACCATCAATTAAGATGGTAGTTAGGTTCCTGAAAATGCAATGTTAGACGAACCTGTTTTAAAATAACTGAAGAATTTATGAGAAAAATAGGGTTACGTTCAAAGAACCCCCAAAAAAGCAAAACATTTTCTTTTTAGGTCTCCAAATCTTACAAAAATAAAAATAATAATGCAGTTTGTTGTTCGTTATTGTTACAATGTATGTTTTTTCTGTTGCTTAAGGCTAAAATGCAACAGAACTAATATTTCTAATCTTAAATTGTGGTTGCTGGTGTTTGTTGATGATTGTGAAGGAGGGAGTGGAAAGGCATGCTGAGGCCCATCTTGGCTGAGGTAGATGGTAGTCCAGTCAGTAAGTCAGTCTAGTTAAGTGAGTCAGTAGGTCAGTCAGTCAAGTCAGTACAGTCATTCAATTCAGTAGGTCACCCATTCAAGTCAGTTAGTCAAGTCATTCAATTAATCAGTTAAGTCAGTCAGTCAAGTCAGTAAGCCATCAGTCAGTCAAGTAGTAAGCAGTTAGTATGTCAATCAAGTCATTCTGTAAATCAGTAAGTCAATCAGTAAATCAGTCAAATTGGTCAGTCAGGTCAGTAAACCAGTCAAGTTAGGTCAGTCAGTCAAATAAGTCATTCAGTAAATCAGCCCAGTCAGTCAAGTCAGTAAGCCAGTCAGTAAATCAGTCAAGTCATTCAGTAAGTCAGATTAATCATTCAGAAAATCAGGTCAGTCAGTAAGTTATTCATCTAGCTTGTGGCACTGAAATTTTTTTCCCTACTGAAAAGATGAACCATTTAAATTGAATTTAATTGAATTAAATTGAATTTGACAATAGTTTGATGGAGAAAACATTTTTAAGGAAACCATTTTAATTGACGGTCTACTGTACATATTTGTATACAGTACAGTACTGTATTATGAGACCTTAACTCTTTCACTGTCGAGACCCTTGCTCACAAACTTGCTCTCAGTGTCGAAAAATATTCGGAAAAAAAAAAATTTCTTACCAAAATGTTAAGAATATTTTTCTGATTCTTTTAAAAGAAATAAAATTTTTGCAATCAGTACTTACCGAGATATAAAGGAGTGAAGTTGACAGAAAGTGAACCGCTTATGGCAACATCGGCGACTGCTGCTCACTCGGTAATATTGTTTTTACTTTTATTCTATTTTTTCTTTTCTTTTCTAATATTTTATTTTTTCAAGTACTTCTGTGGCCTGTGATACCAATATAATGCATAATGTATATACGTATATCCACTCATTGTATGCAACACAATAACTGCACAAACATTGTTATCATTATATTGTTTACAAAACCTGTTTACACAAGTCCACGCTGCCTTCCCCAACACCCACGCTGCCTTCCCCACTACCAACGCTGCCTTCCCCACCACCCATGCTGCCTTCCCCACCAACCATGCTGTTTTCCCCACCACCCACATGGAAATAAGTCATTTTGTCTGACTTTTTTGGGTTATCCTAGGTATTCTACACATATGCTGCTATGTATGATAATCTATGTAACTGTATTTGTGTATACCTGAATAAACTTACTTATTCTTTGAGACATGGGAAAATATGAGTTTCCTCTTTTGCTGTGGTACAAGTGAAAATACAGTAAATGAAATGGCCCAGCACCAGAGGTGCTGGGCCAGAGATCTGGACTTTCAGCACTATTTCTGGTATCCTGGTCATTGCTTTTGGTCACAAATGCCTTAAAACCATGAGATTCATCTTCACTGACACTTCAATCTGTGTTAGAACTATCACTTGGGAAAGAAAGAATCTCAATTCGCTGGGGAGCGAGGCATTCCTTACTGCTAGACATGGTGACCAAGGTGTACTGAATTAGCACTCCCACAATGCATTGCGGCCTTCCTGATTTTTTTTATACTGCGCACACTGACTGTGCAGACCCATTCTCTCACATGTAGGTCTACCAGCTTTCTCCCGCTACATTTGAAACCGCTAGAATTTTGGCGTAGTACTACTGCACCAGCACTGGCTTGCAAGCCGTAGTACTACGGCACTGACAGTGAAAGGGTTAAAGAGGTTATTTACCATATAATTTTAAGGCTTAACCAAAATATGTAGCTGTAGTATGGTGCCCTCACCTAAAGAAAAATATAATACAAAGTGTTGCATGTTTGCAATATAATGGATGCTCAAGATGTTTAAAAAAGACCTACAGTTAATGACAAACATTTTGAAAATGGTTTCATTGGAAGATGGAAGAGGATACATTGTAGCCACTTATGAATTTAGAAAGGAATCTGGAAAACCCAGATGCAAGGCAAGTTTTGGAATCAGCAACAAGAACAAAGGTCTTAATTTTAAATTATGGAAAAAAAGAGAGAGAGAGAGAGAGATAAGCATGAACGATATAGTACTGCACTTATTTTAAAATAGCTGTAGAGGCACAGACCCAATTTTCCGGCACCCTTGGTGCTGGTATATCAATTTTGGCCAGAACTAATAGTGGTCGCATAATAATAATTCAGCAATACGCCTCTGATCCACCATGATCTGCTGGAAACTTATATTAGATATTAGTTGAAGTGAAACAGGTTTATGAATTGCTGTACTTACAAAGAATGCTGCAGTGTAAACAACATAAGTGAGCATGCAATACATACAATGCCACCTAAGCCCCAAGTAAACTTTTTTGGCAAAAAAGTAAGTCTCAATTTTATCCGAACTAAGAGGTGCCTGACGATCTGTTACTGGTAAATCAGCGTTGTGCCTGTAACTGGGAGTAGATTCCACCGAGGCAGGGTGACCTAAAATGAAAAATGAAAGTTTTTCTCTTTACAGGAGAAGGGGTTATCTTTAAATATATCACTTAAAAAAAAACTGAAGCTACATGAACTTAGCTACAGAATTGTACATTTAGTAAGGAATAAACAAAAATTATGCTTATTTATCTATACAGCCTCTCCTCACTTAATGTTGAAGTTCCGTTCCTAAGACTACATTGGTAAATGAATTTGTCGTTAAGCAAGGAGCATATGTATTATAATGGTAGTGGGTTTATGTCAACCATCTTTGATATTGTTTTAATGTTACCTTTGCACCAATTATAACATTTTTAGTATATTTTTAAATGTTTATACAGTAGTGTACTGTATATTGTAATAAACAGAATAGAGGAAATCAGCTCAATTATACATTACATGTATTTAGGTATGCATACTGGTCAGAGAGTCCGTCATAAGTCCGAGTTGTCGGTAAACAGGTACGTCGCTAAGTGAGGAAAGGCTGTATAAGTGAAGATTCAAAATCAAAATATAAATGGCTCTGAAAGTATTTCAATCAAAGTACTGTATCTAAATAAATTATTTTAATTTAAATTTATGCTGTAAAAGTTTTAATCTTAGTTAGTCTGATATTATGCTAACCATATGTAATTAACTTTTTTTAAGAAATTTTTTCTGCAAAATTTAGTCCAGCAAGATGTTAATCAGAAAATTAACTTCATTTATAATTGGTGTATAATTTAGTCAACCCTTCATTAAGCGACTGCTTTGAAAAAAAAAAATTAGTTCTAGTCACATCGAAGATTTACAGCATCTCTTGTTTAGAATGTTAAGTTTACCTTAAACCCTAGAAAAACTACTATTAATGAAGTGAGTGACTCATTACATAGTACAGTGGACCCCCGCATAACGATTACCTCCGAATGCGACCAATTATGTAAGTGTATTTTTGTAAGTGCGTTTGTACGTGTATGTTTGGGGGTCTGAAATGGACTAATCTACTTCACAATATTTCTTATGGGAACAAATTCGGTCAGTACTGGCACCTGAACATACTTCTGGAGTGAAAAAATATCGTTAACCGGGGGTCCACTGTATAATGCAGGCTCTAATAATGTTGGTAGAATTAACAACAACATGTTAGGTAAAAAGGACACAAGTGCAACTAATGTGACATTTTACTGTGGCAATGTTTCGCTCTCCAAGAGCTTTGTGAAGCCGTTATGGCATGATAAAGCTCCTGGAGAGTGAAACATTGCCACAATAAAATGTCACATTAGTTGCACTTGTGTCCTTTTACCTAACATAATGCAGCCTCTTCTACAATTAGAGCATGCATTATTTAATGAATTGTCTTGCATGTGTCTGCACACTTGAGTTTTTCAGATTTTTAAATATTAGTTAATCTCGGTTAGGTTTGTTTATGTTAATAAATTTTAACTTTTCCTTACATATAATTCCTTGACAGTAATGAAAAATAAAAAAGTATGGGTAGCTTATATTTGTCAGTGTGGGATATATTGTAAAATCTCGAGTGTGTATTTTTTCAGAAATGGTAAAAAAGTTAAGAGGATTTCTATGTAATTAAATTTGATTTTTTCTTTGCATTGGTTCCTTTCTATTATTTTTGCTCACTATATTGTGAATGATTAATGTTAAATACTGTTAACCCTCAATTTAATGGACTTTAGAAATACAGCTTTTCCTCACTTAGCGATATACTCATTTACTGACGACTCGGACTTATGACGGGCTCTCTGGCTAGTATGCATACCTAAATAATGTACTTAGAGTAGATTTCCTCTATTTTGTTTATTAAAATGTACAGTATACTACTTTATAAACATTTAAAAATATACTAAAAATGTTTTAAATTGTGCAAAGGTGACAATAAACAATATCAAAGATGGTTGACACAAACCCACTACCATTATAGTATGCTCCTCACTTAGCAACGAATTTGTTTACCAACGTAGTCTTAGGAACAGAATTCGGTCATTAAGTGAGAAGAGGCTGTACTGGATAAAATCCACTCAGTCATTTGACTTGGAAACAACAGACAAAGTCTGCTATTTACAGCTTTGTCACTTATGTTCATTCATAACCCACATGGAGACAAACTCTGGAGGTTAATTGATCAATTAATCTCCTGAGTTTGTCTCCATGTGGGTTATTATTGAGCACTATTAACTGTTTATTATACTTTAGTTATTCAGTGTCCTTTATTGTTATGATCAGGGTCAAACAATTCCATCTCCATCAATTAGAGTCAACATTACTGGCCACCCATTTCCCCTATTAGTTCATTAAATGAAGGGTTTACTGTATCTGTATTCATTTAGAAAATCTTGACCTTATTTATCTTGAAAATGTAATTATTTTATTTCATTACAGAGGTGACCCACTAGCAATAGCTGCTGCTCAAGCCGCCCATGAAGCCAAGAAACGAAAGTGGAAGCAGCTTGGCCCCGATGGCAAGCCAATACTAGCCCCTATAAAACAAAGGAAAAAAGTCGACAGATTTGATGGTATTCCCGAAGAAGAAGTAACTAAGAAAACCTTACCCGATCACCTTAGTCCCAACTTGGATATAGTCATTGTGAGTATCAAAGAAGATGGTTCCTCAGATCCAAGCAATCATCTTAACCCCTCAAGTGCTATTCATATCAGTCTGTATGTGGCTCAATCTCTAGCTTCAAATAGTCTGTAAGTGGTTCAGTCTCTAGCTTCAGACTTTCTGTATCTAACTCCATCACCTCTAGCTTCAGACTGTCTGTATGTGGCTTGAACTGTTAATTCACACAATCTGAATGTGGCTTGAACTCTTGCTTCAGGCGGTCTGTAATGTGGCTTGAATTTTAGCTTCATACAGTCTGTAACGTAGCTCAAATTCTAGCTTCAGAGAGTCTGTAATGTAGCTCGAATTCTAGCTTCAGACAGTCTGTAATGTAACTTGAATTCTAGCTTCAGACAGCCCGTGTGTTACTCAGACTGGAACTTCAAACTGTCTGTATGTAGCTCAATTGTCTCTAGCTTCAGACTATGTTCACAAAATTTTAATTTGACTATAACTTAATCACTAGTGATTGTAATTGTCTTGAATATTAATACTGCCTTACAAACTGAATTTCTTGATTTATGATGCCATTATACATAAGACTGGAAAAATGGCTTTGGGGTTAATATACAGCACTGGACAGCCTCATTGTATTGTATATGAATATAGTTGAGAAATCATTCTTAATATTTCCCAATTTTATAAATGTAGAATCTCAATAGAGGTCATGAAGTTTATTATGATGACTTATACAATAAAAGGGCATATTTATCAAAATTAGGCAATGTAATTTTTAAAAAATTTAATTAGCTTTTAGCTAAAATAATATATTTGAAAATTTAGCTTCTGGAATCATTACCATATTAGTTAATTTGGTTAAAAATTAATGGAGTGATATAGTACTCATCAGTGAGGCTGCAACAGTGGTTAAATTTGGAAGCCAACCAATGGGCCCGTGCCCGGATGAACAGTTTAATCATGGTAACATGAAGATTTCTAAATTCCCATTCCAGATCGGAATAAATCCAGGTTTGTTTGCGGCATACAAAGGACATCATTATGCCGGCCCGGGGAACCACTTCTGTGAGTACTGCCAAAGATCATTTTCCCCTCTTCTAATATTTTTTCTACAATTCCTTCCAGTTCTTTCTTCATATTTCATTATCTTTGCCTATTTTTGCCCCCTCATCTGTTTATCATTATTTATTTTGTTGATATTATCTCCCCTTGTTATTCATAGCTTATATTCCTTACCCTTTTCATTTTATTGCTTATCTGTAGACTGTGCCGATTTATTTTGGTGCTGCTTTACGGAGAGACAGCTAAGAAGGGATCACTTCATCAAGAGCCCAGGATAGCTTTGTAACCAATGCTGCATAAAACAAGACCTGAAGCATTAATTCTTTACAACATTGCCCAATGTTCTGCTTGAATCTGATTCTAGTTTCGTAACCAGAAAGCTGCCGATATGATAAATTTCTCGCTTTAAATGAAGATAATGCCTGTTATGCCATCTCCTACTGACATAGGTGGCCAAATTACACTTTCGAGTAGTATAAGGCACGTGAGAACCATAATGCAACATGGGTTAGATCTAAGCATTCTACTGCAACATCCTTCCGTATACAGCCTCTCCTCACTTAGCGATGTACTCGTTTACTGATGCCTTGGACTTACGACGGGGTCTCTGACCAGTATTTATACCTAAATAATGAATATTAGAGCTGATTTCCTCTATTCTGCTTATTTCAATATGCAGTAAACAACTGTATAAACATTTAAAAATATACCAGAAATTTTATAAATGGTGCAAAGGTGATATTATAGCAATATCAAAGATGGTTGACACAAACCCACTACCATTATAGTATGCTCCTCACTTAGCAACAAATTTGTTTAACAATGTGGTCTTAGGAACGGAACTCTGTTGTTAAGTGAGGAGAGGCTGTATTCCATAGATGTGGGATCAAACCCTGTCAGTCATGATTCAGTCACAATTGTATTACTATTTATGGTGATGTTTAAATATATTTTTTATTCTAATATAAGAGTATCATCTTGGAATTTAGGTATAAGGATGCTTAGTGTTAGTAATCCACTTCTAATATTTAATAACATTTTAGGCAATAACATTAAACTCAAGAAATTCATTTTAGTGATTATTTACAACTGAACTGATCGCCAAGACATTTTAAATTTGGTCAAAGAATGCTATCTTCAGCACAATTCATTGTATCATGTTGAAGATTATTATTTGACTTAGGCATCAGATGGTATTTGACATTATTTTCATTTAATGTCAAAGTGGTTTAATTTTAAATCTCTACACTTTTTTTTCAGCATGATTTTGAAAATCTAAGAGAATTTAAAATACGAATAGTACATTAATTGTTTAGCTGTGAATACTGATAATATTAAAAAGACAGTATTGTACACTTTAATAACACAAATAATACAAACTAATATATTAGATTTTCTTTCCTGCAGTCTTGATTTTTTATCAGTCTAATATTTTCCAGTCATCCTTATCCCACAGTGGACAGTGTGATGGACTGTATCTTGCAAAATGCCCAGTATTCAAGTCACACTACTCATGACACATGCTTTATTTTGTTGCTGTTATAGAGTAAAATTTGAAGAAATTGACAACATGTATATCAGTTTCTTGAACACTCAAAGATAATTGCCAAAAATAAGGTAACTTGTACACATCTTTCTCCACATAAATATCTATTTAAAATAAATTCTACAGTATATCAAAAAAATACAGGCCTTTGACAGAATATGTCTGTTTGTGTTGTTGTTGCAGTAATCGGGCAGTCAGTAAATAGTGAGGAGTAATAAATTTCGTTCTGTTTTAAAAGTAAATGAATGGCAAATTTCACATTAAGATTGTCCGGGTTAGGTCACAGTGTTTGCATTTGATATAACTTTTATGAATAAGTGAAGCTTTAGTAAAGCTGAGCTACTGGAAGCAGATTTCTAATTACTGATAAAGGATTTGTGTGTTGAGATAACTCACAAGTAGAGAATTTTGTTTATATTTGTATGTTATAGACATAATGTTATAACCTAATGCACAGTTGGATTAAATGTAAATGCTATACTCAAAATACAAAAATAGTTTACTTCCAGTTATATTATTTGAGCCAAAAATGAAAATACACAAACTACTCTTGTGGCTGTACAACTAACAAAAAATTTAATTTCCACAATCTGTCATGAAAGCGAGCTTCTACGATCAAGGTAAATAGGCAAGATCTTCTTCACTGTTACAAAAAAAAGGGGCATCTGTTTTGTATTACAAGCTGTATTATTCATGTAAATGATTAGATTTCATAACACTGTAACTCGTTACAGGTATCTATCTGTTTTGGAGTAAAGACTCTCAGCACAAACATTATCAGAAGAAGTGCAATAAAATAAAAAAAACGAGTAGAAATATTTTTTTTGGTAAATAAAATTATTAAATATTCTATAAATATTTCTCCATTTTCCAGCAGGGTCCACCATGCTGGACCATCTCCACACACACTTATCTTGCTACTTATACTTCAACACAGTGAACATATATTTCCTAAATAATTCTCAGTATGTATAGTTTTCTTTGCTCATATACACTGCTTGTGTTATTTCTCCTCATTCATATTTGTTCATCTATTTCTGGTTCATCAGTACAGAACTTTTCACTGCCAGTCAGCTGTAATTTCCGGTGATTTCCCATTTCTTTATTTAGTCTTAGACCTATAACACTTCACAATAACCTCTCAGAAGATCCTTTCCGGATGTTTGCACTATTCTCACTGTAAATTTGTTTATTTGGTTTCACTGTCCTGTCAAATATAGTGGAACCTCGGTGTACGATCAGCTCCCTACTCAAACAAAGCCCAGCACTTGACCAAACAAATACGACCTGCCAGAACTTTTCTGTAAATTATTTTGTGTTTCTTCGCATTTTTTGGTGTTTTTTGTATTATGTATATAAATAAGTCACTATGGGGCCTACGATGATTAGTGATAACAGCCAACCAAACAGAAAATTAGTTGGGAAGAACTTGTTCAATACTCAAATGGAGCGGCACTCGAACAGCCTTCTGGAATGAATTAAGGTCGCGTACCGAGGTTCCACTGTATATATATGGGTTACATTATCCTCTGTCTCATTTTCTTATTTAACCTTCATGATTTGACACTATCTGCTCACAACTTATTCCACTATCTCAAGTTTCTTTTCACCATTTATTTTAAGAATTCTTTACAAATAAAAAAATTTTTTTATCATGTTTTTTCATACCATACTTGATACTGCAGTCATTTGCTCTAACATGACCTTATTTATTGATAAAAGATATTAAAATTTCTGTCAATAAGCAGTCACTGTTGTACTACATCTGCATAGAGCATTTTTTTTTTTTTAATTCGTGCAACACTGCACACAATCTGAAGATGATTGAGTTAGTTTTTCAGTAAGTCTTGTTAAATTTTTCTCTTTCTTTTGGTGCCATCACTAACAATTAAAAATGCAACAACAACATTACCAAAAAATTTTCGTAGTTTCTGAATGGTGTTTTGATGATAAAGTTGCTGTAGCTTTCCAAAGAAATCTGTCATTTTATTTAATCACACCACACTGCTTAACATTCTTGCTTTCAACAACAGCCTTTAGACATTATTATTGTTTTCAGATTTTCAGTTTTTCTTTACCCTTGTATGAACCTCTTGCTTTCTGCATTTCACTGCTTCTCCTTTTTTTCTTTCTTAAATATGTTTGTTAAGCATTCTTTCCATTTGCATGGATTTCAGTTTATTTAATTGCTGCCTATGTCTTTATATATGTGACAGCCATACCCACCTTCAGAACCCTTCAGCAGGTATTGCCCACACTAGGGTTAGATATTAGGTTCTTGAAGGTGTGGAGAGGTGACATACCTCCATACCTGTCTGAAGCTGAGGCTGCATGGCCCACCCTGCTGGAAAAATGGAAGAAGTCAAAATCTGATGTTGATACATACAGACGACCCCAAAAGTGAAATTGTTATGAATTTACATATTAATAAGAGCTGAGTTTGTATAAAAATAAGCTAAATATATCAGATTATTTTATTTTTTCCTCCACATGAGGCTTAGTGCATCTGTCCCTGTCCATTCATTTGGAGTTGAGTTTGATTCACAGAGAGATGAACAAATATCTATTAAGTTTAATACTGTGTGAGATGGTTACTGTTGCAAAATTATGGCACTTTTAACTAATAAATTTATCATGTAAAATTTGCTAGAATACATTAACCCAACTGTACTATGAAAAATTAGTGTTTAAAATTCATAAAGAAAACTGAAACAGTATACTTCATCCTGCCAGCTTCTTGTATATTACCCATTAATTTTTTTTCCATTCATCAAGGCTTGCAAAATATCTCCTTTTCCTTGGATAATTCTACTATTTTAACCCTCTTCCTCTCCATTAGCATTTCTCTCGGTTACCTTCAGTTTATAAATCCTATTCGATCACAATTCAGACTGCCGTTGCCCCTGTGACTGCTCTTTACTATCAGAGAAAATACTTGTGTTTATGTATATTATTTTCTAATATTCTTAATCTTTCTATGCTAAATAATTACTTAGGAGCTAGATAATATATATATAGTATTTTACCTATTTAAAACAACTGCACAAAGACTAAGTCAACCATTGGGGCTATTTTGTTGATATTTTAAGCAAAATTTTAAGGAAACAAAAACTATTTATACAGTATAAAGTTTTCAAAACTTGCTGCACTCATCCTGTCCTATCACATCATACTGCTACATGACTGCCTTGGTAGCTTCTATGAAAGTTTGTTTTCATATTATCAGTGTTCACCAAATCATTCATTTTGAAATGGAGTAGATTAAGCTAGTCTGAAATCAAGTGAATTTTTTAACAGAATATAGGTATCTGACCTATGCAAATTTATACTGGAACAGTTAAATCTACAAAGATTGTACAGTGAATGCCAAATATTTATGAAACAAGAATTTACCTATTGTTACATATGGTAACATGAGAAGTTGCTCAGTGGAAGAGCACTCAGCTCTCAAAATGAAAGAACCTTGGTCCAATTCTTGGACTGATTGTGATGTTAGGGTAAATCTACATGCACCTAATACCTCTGCTCACTTAAGGGAAATATAGGTACCTGGGTGTTGTCAAATGTTGTCAGTCACATTTTAGGGAGGGAGGTAGTGCACTGAACAGCTGGGCTTTGTGATGAGTTTAAGTAGGATAACAGCTCTTAGCCTGTAAATTCAGCTATGTGAAAAAATGGTATAAAACAATTCCCAATATTTAGTGGCTTTTATGTATCTTTAACTGCATTTGCACATGCAATTACTGATAAAAATGTAAAGATTATGATAAAAATGAAACTGATTTATAAGTTCTGAGTTGTTTCTTTGCCATGTAAATTGCAACTCAGTTTTTCCACACATAGAAGGGACATATATCTATCAAAGATTTTGTCATTCTTTCGAAATATCCATTGATAGGCATTGAATTTGGATTTTTGACATGGGTTATGATTCCTGAAAGGCTGTGCTTTGAAAAAGAAATTGTGAAAAAATTGTGAAAAAGAAATTGGGTGACTACAAAGCCCATAGGTGCAGAATAAAGTTTTTGTTCTGGACTCCTATATCAATTTTTGTTATTTCTTGGTATCTTCTCCTGATAAATAGAGGTTCACGTATTTTCGGATTTATCTTACTAATAAACCTTAAAACTGTTGCCTGGAATGCAACCGAGTTTCTCTCACATTCTCTAAACCGTTGTTTAGGATGCAAGTGAATGTTGTCTGAACTGTTGTTTGGAATGCAACTGAGTTTCTCATGTTCTTTAAACTGTTGATTGTTATGCAATTGAATTTCTCTCATGATCTCTCAACTGTTGTTTGGGATGCATCTGAGTGTTTCTTGTTGCATCATTTACCAAACAGCTGTTTTCTGTCCACTGCCCTCGATCAACTAGGTACAAACATGATGGATAAAAGAAAGCGACATAGTTGTCAACTACTCTCATGAAAGGGAAAATGAAAAAAAAAAAAAAATGCTATTACTAAACAACACCTGAAATAAAGCTAGTTAAGAAGAGCTGTTAAGACTGCTGCTCAGGAACAAGCCAGGTCACACTGCTCTGCCAGCAACTCTTGCTCTTCTCTGGTGTGTATGAATACGGAAAAGAAATAAATGAAAAATGTTTCAATATCGGCAAAATAAAATGTGATATACCTCAATAAAAAAATAATTATTTCTTATAAATTAATTATTCAGCATGAATTTTTTTATTTTTACAACTGCATCACTGATATTGCTGTGTTGCCATGTGTACATCTAAAGTCTATGCTTCTTGCCAATGTTGTAATGTATGAGACTCAAAGTTCATGCATTGGTATTCAAATTATGTTTAGGAGCAAAAAAATTAGCTTCTGCTAGAACCTTAAACCTGAGCCACCAATGCTGCAAGCCAACTATCTGTGATGACTAGCTGCAGGCAAAGTAATTGAAATTTTCAAACAAAAACAAAAAAAATCCTAAGAACTTTAGCCAGATTTTTTTATTCGTCTCTTGGGAGTTAGTACAATGCTTACAGTGTGTGTTGATTTTTTTCTCAGTTGTTATTGTATTAAATACATTGATCTTTGGTATACTACAGAAAATTTGCAACTGCTGTCTAGATACATTCACTTTCTCTATACTTATTCTTTCCAAATCTGGCTTCCAATCTTGCAGTGCCTATTATTTTTGCTCTCACATTTTCTTTTTCTGTTTTCACTTTAAACTTTCATCTTTTCCATATGTTACCAAGCTTCACCAACTTCTCTTCTGAATATTCCAAAAGCACTGTCATCAGCAAAGAGCAACTGTGACAGCTACCACTTTATATCAGACTCTCTGTCTTTCAGAGCCCACATCTCTCAAACACACAAGCATTCACTTCCATTACAGCCTTATTTGTAAACACATTAAACTACCATGGTAACATTACATATCCCTATCCAAGGACTACTTTTACTGGAAAATACTGCTTTCCCCTTCTCTCCTGTATAAACTAACCTGAGAGAATATACATAGAAAGTTGAAAGTGAACATAGATAATAGTAAGGTGATGAGGGTATCAAACAAGTTAGGTAAAGGCAGTATGGAAGAAGTAAATATGTTCAGATATTTGGGAGTGGATCTGTCAGCAGATGGGTTTATGAAGGGTAAGGTTACCCATAGAACTGATGAAGGAAAAAAGGTGAGTGGTGCATTGAGGCATCTGTGGAGACAAAAAATGTTATCCATGGAGGCAAAGAAGGGAATGTGTGAGAGTATAGTGGTACCAACACTTATAAGGGTGTGAAGCATGGGTTGTGAATGCTGCAGTGAGGAGGAGGCTGGAGGCAGTGAAGATGTCATGTCTAAGGGCAATGTGTGGTGTAAATATTATGCAGAGAATTTGTAATGAGGAAATTAGGAAGTGTGGAGTTACTAAAAACATTATTCAGAGGGCTGAAGAGGGGTTATTGAGGTGGCTCAGTCATTTAGAGAGGAAGGAGTAAAATAGAATGACTTGGAGGGTGTATAAATCTGTAGTGGAGGGATAGGGGTTGTCCTAGGAAAGGACGACCCCCTACCCCTCCTGGACATGCAGCAGGCATGTGTGAGTGTGTTAAATAGGAGTGAATGGAGACGAGTGGTTTTTGGGACCTGATGAGCTGTTGGAGTGTGAGTAGAGTAATATTTTGTGAAGGAATTCAAGGAAACCAGTTAGTCGGACTTGAGTCCTGGAGGTGGGAGGTACAATGTCTGCACTTTAAAGGAGGGGTTTGGGATATTGACTGTTTGGAGTGACATCTAAACTGTCATGTCTGGGTACCTCTGCAAAGACAGTGATTATGTTTGAATGATGGTGAAAGTGTTTCTTTTTTGGGTTATCCTGCCTTGGTGGGAGACAGCCAGCATGTTGAAATATAAATATAAATATATATATATATATATATATATATATATATATAATATATATATATATATATATATATTATATATATATATATATATATATATATATATAATATATATATATATTATATATAGTTTTAAAAAATGCAGTATTAGAATGTGGGGCAGAAGTTTGTGATTTTTTAGGAGGGTGGGGCAGTGAGGAAGAGGAGTGATTGGTAGGAATGATGAAGTAAAGGGTGGTGATAAAAAAGAAAAGGAAATAGCTTACAGAGGTTTTTACAAAGCAGAGTGCTATAAGAAGAGCGAGTATATGGAGAGTAAAAGAAAGGTGAAAGAAGTGGTGAGAGAGTGCAAAGGAAGCAGATGAAAGAGTGGGAGAGGCACTGTCAAGAAATTTTAATGAAAATAAGAAAAATTTTGGGAGTGAGTTTAAACAAGTTTAAAAAAGCCTAGGGAAAGTATGGATTTGTCAGTTAAAACAGAGTAGGGAGTATAAGTAGATGGGGAGAGGGAGGTATTAGTAATGGCGAGAATATTTTGAGGAACTTTTAAAGTTAAGGAGAAAAGGGAGGCGGTAATTTCATGCACTGGCCAGGGAGGTATACCATCTTTTAGGAGTGAAGAAGAGCAGACTGTAAGTGTGGTGAGGTACGTGAGGCATTACGTAAAATGAAAGGGGGTAAAGCAGCTGGAACTGATGGGACATGACAGAAATGTTAAAAGCAGGGGGGATATAGTGTTGGAGTGGTTTGTACTTTGTTTAATAAATGTTTGAAAGAGGGGAAGGTACCTAGGGATTGGCGGAGAGCATGTATAGTCCCTTTATATAAAAGGGAAAGGGGACAAAGAGATTGTAAAAATTATAGAGGAATAAGTTTACTGAGTATACCAGAAAAGTATACGGTAGGGTTATAATTGAAAGAATTAGAGGTAAGACAGAATGTAGAAATTTCGGACGAACAAGGAGGGTTTTAGAGTGGGTAGGGGATTTTTAG